ACAGCTGTGGCAAAAACTTAATAAATTGATTTGGTTGAAAAATAGATGAAACAGACATTGAATACAGTGAGTTTGCTCTTATCACTGACCTCAGCACAAAAGCCCTGAAGCGTCCACGGCTGTAGATTTGTCCCCATGCAGAAAATGAGGTTGTGATTATGAGTTAATGCTCGGAAATAGTCTCTGGAACCGTTTCAGTCCCGTCTTCAATTCAATTAAGGGGCCTATTTAATTTGCTCTGTCAAATTGGTTGATAGAGACATGATGATAAATTACATAAGCACCAATTTTGTTCCCAGATGCTCTGGGCAAAGGGAATCAGTTAAATGTTTAGTTCTTTTTAATATTTAGTTTGGACACTTTCATTTTCTATGACTCAGCTGTGCTAGACTTCTGCTGCATTCACCCTTTAATGTGCACTACTTCAAGAAATCAATGTAAAAAATATTGTTTTGATTTTCTAAGATAGAGACTAGAGAGAGACCAGAGAGAGAGACCAGAGAGAAACCAGCGCGAGAGAGCAGAGAGAGAGGCCAGAGAGAAACCAGCGCGAGAGAGCAGAGAGAGAGGCCAGAGAGAGTGACCAGAATGAGAGCAGAGAGAGACCAGAGAGTGACCAGAATGAGAGCAGAGAGAGACCAGAGAGAGTGACCAGAAAGAGACCAGAAAGAGACCAGAGAGAGTGACCAGAAAGAGACCAGAGAGAGACCATGTAGTGACCAGAGAGAGTGACCAGAAAGAGACCAGAGAGAGACCATATAGTGACCAGAGAGAGTGACCAGAAAGAGACCAGAGAGAGACCATATAGTGACCAGAGAGAGTGACCAGAAAGAGACCAGAGAGAGAGACCATATAGTGACCAGAGAGAGACCAGAGAGCATGACCAGAGAGAGAGACCAGACAGAGGTACCAGAGAGAGAGTGAAGAGAAAGAGACCAGAGAGATGGACCTACTAACATTTTTGGCTTTTTTTGCGCCTAAAACCAGGTGATAGAGATGAGGTAGGTTTCAGTTTCAAGCTTCAAGTAGATATAGTGGCTCAAAAAGGAAGAAAATATTAAAGGGTTAAACAAAACAGTGCAGAACCCTAATGATGAGTGACTTATTGCACAAATATTATACAAGAGCAGTGTTTTGAAATATATGTACAGTTGATACAAACATTTGAGCACCGCTTTCAATTTGTATGGTTTTCCTTTTTCCTTTATAAATCATTGCTGGTTTGGGTCAGAAATCCGTCAGACACAGTGATATTCTTGCACACTTTCGGTGAATGACACAAACTATATTTCACTTCTCAAATACCACTGTGTTCGTCTCCCATATGATGTAGCTACAAACAAACACTGGGATGCATTTAAAAACTCTGCAACCAGACAAAAAGAATAATATTTTTGCTTTAATTACTACCACCACTTTGATCATCATTTAATGCAGCAAAACGTCTAGTACGGCCGAGTCAGAGCTGAAACCTGCTGCCTGAAGATCAAATAAAACTTCACATTACTTCAGTCACAAGGACAGAATCAAGAATTACTTTTGCCCAACGTCTCATTAACTTTCAGCGGTGTGATGATAACGACCTCTCATGAATCAACTTAAGGCAGAAAAATGGCACAGTGAGACGACTCAAGTGGAGAGAAAGGATTTAAATGGGTTTCACTTCACTACTAATTCCAGAAAAGGTGGAGACAATAAGAAAAGAGAACAAATAATGACAGTCTCACAACTTCTACCAGAAAATCATCAAAATGTGTGTCTTCGTGACATGTCCAAAAATTGGGTATTTTAAATTATTTTTTAACTTTATTTCTAACTTTTGTAAATGCACTATAGGTGTCTATCTGTCTGTGTATCTGTTATTGTGTCTGTGTGGGTGTGTGTGTGTGTATGCGTGTGTGTAGTTGTGCATGCTTGCGTGAGTGTGTGTGTGTGTATGCTTGTGTGTGTTCGAGTACATTGTGTGTGTATGTGTGTGTATGTATGCTTGTGTGTGTTCGCGTACATTGTGTGTGTGTGTGTGAGAGAGTGTGTGTGTGTGTGTATGCTTGTGTGTGTTCAAGTACATTGTGTGTGTGTGTGTGTGTGTGTATGTGTGTGTATGTATGCTTGTGTGTGTTCGCGTACATTGTGTGTGTGTGTGTGAGAGAGTGTGTGTGTGTATGCTTGTGTGTGTGTGTGAGAGTGTGTGTATGTGTGTATGCTTGTGTGTTTGCGTACATTGTGTGTGTGTGTATGTAGTTGTGCATGCTTGTGTGAGAGTGTGTGTGTGTGTATATATGTGTGTACTGTATGCTTGTGTGTATTTGCGTACATTATGTGTGTGTGTGTGAGAGTGTGTGTGTATTCGCGTACATTGTGTGTGTGTGTGTGTGTGTGCAAATGTGCGTATTGTGCAAGTGTGATTTGTTGTTTGAATACCTTTCATCATATTTTTGCAATATTTTTCAACACTAAAGCAAAAACCCAACAACACTTATATAAAAATCTCTTCCCGGGGTCACCACCGCATTATGCCGTATCAGTAAACAATTCCCCAAAGCCATTTTACAAACTGACTTTATGCAAAACCACTTCTTCTCTCCTCACATCTGTACGATATTCACGGCGTATATATATATCCTGGTCATAGATCACGCCCCACAAGCAGCTCCGCGCACAGGGGAGCAAGGTCTTTAAAAGAGGCAATTTTCCTGCAAGATTACCACATGTATGATTTATGGCACAGCTTACATGGGACAACTTGAGTCTATTGGTTTTGTTTTATGGACGTGTCATTCATTTAAAGTGAAAGCGATGGACCTTTTCTACATCCTTCCCCGGCATAAACAGCACTCTAGCACTTTGGAGGACACGCTAATGAAATCAGAGCCTGGGAAATGTATTCAGTTCTGTTGATTTTCAGATGTGACTGGCATCAGTAAGGTTCAAGTTAAGCATGAGTCTAGAAAGCCACTTGAAAGGAATTGAGTTTTGGTTTTCAGCTTGTTGGCTTGACTTTTCACCAGAAACGTTTCACAGCCACCTTTAAATGTGAATAATTATTTGGAAATAGAACCCTTTTCTCTCTCGACTGTATTTGTGTGACATTAGCTCTAAGTGGGGGCGACAGTGGCTCAGTTGGTAGAGCCTTGGGGCCTGAAGGTCGTGGGTTCGAGCCCACCATGAGACCTACTTCACAAGTCCCACTGATGCCTGCTGTTGTTGTGTCCTTGGGCAAGACACTAAACCCCACCTTGCCTGAAGCCCCTGCTGGAAGACCTCAGCTCCTGTGGACTCACCACCTGCAGGAGGATCAGTGAGGGGCTGGTGCTCTGTGTACTGGGTGCAGCTCTGACTGCCACCCCCCCCTTTAAATAGTAAACAAACAAACACTCAATCTTCTCACTCAAGCTTTGAAAGAACAAGATCGCAGATACAGTCAAAGTGGTCGAACTGAGTTTCCCTTAGAGATGGGTAGAAGAGCCGCTGCTGCTTCACGTGGAGAGGAGCCAGTGGAGTTGGCTCGGGCATCTGTTTTGTATGCCTCCTGGACGTCTCCCTTGGGAGTTGTTTCGGACATGTTCAACCAGGAGGAGACCCAGGATGGAGAGTCTCTCTGGCCTGGGAACATCTCAGGATTCACCTTGGATGAGCTAAAGGAAGAGTGTGTAGAGAGGGAAGTCTGGACCTCTCTCTCAGACTGCTGCCCATGTGATCCGGCAATGGACAAAGCGGAAGAAAATGAATGGATGACTGGACAAACACTTGAGACACTAAATATTTCTAACACTGATCGATTAGTAAACTATATTCAAGATTCACTCCTTCTTCAGACAGATCATAAGGGCAGACTGTGGGACACTATAGTCACTGTTTCCCTGCTACAAATCACCAAATCACCAAAACATAAACACATACAATAAATCAACGTTTCGCTTAGACACGTCCAGTTACATCAAAAGCACCTGCCTCCGTGTGGATCTATAGCGCCATCTGGTGGAGGAAAGCATGACTAACCGAGCAGGGGAAGGAGGATGCAGCAGGGAGGCAGACAAGAGATGGCGAGGGATTCATCTGAACATTTGACCTTTTTAGTGACTCTGCAGTTTAAAAAACAAGATCCATGTCATTAATACATTTAACCAGACATGTACAGCAGCCTCTCTGTAGAGTCGCCATCACTCACTAGTTTATGTCTTAATATATACTTATTCATCTTATTCATTACAGCCATCGTATCTCAGATTATTATAAGGAATAGTCTCTGAGTTTCAAGCTGCAGAGCGTTCAGTGCATGTCTGTCCAGTCCCACAGCTGCTCAGGCTGCGCTCTTTCTGAGCGCAAAGAAATCTGTTCACACTTGCGCTGGGAACGCATGCGCGGAGAGGAAACCAACTGGTTTGTGTCAAGTCGAGGCGGAGGGATGTGACAGAGGCAAAGGCACCTGTATTCTGCCATTCATGGTGACACAGTGAGTACAGATCGTATTTTCAATGTTCATATTCAAAGAGCAGAGGCCAAGTGTCTATTGTCATCATGTTTGTGAACAACGCGCTCCAGAGCATCTCTCCTGTGCATGTTCCACCGCAGAGGCTTCGCTCTCATCGCTACATATTCTGTACATATATTATTATTTGTATTTTGTTCTAATGTGTATAGCCACTGTCACTTGTAAACGATCATATTACTGGTTTATAAATAGCCGAAGTGACGAGTTCGTATCGAATCGATCCCGGGCATCAGCAGCCGTGGAAGCCTTGTGGCGATGCTTTGGTTTATGCTCAGATTTATGAATAAATTGGATGTTAAGTAGATGTAGTTGTGGCCAACTGAAAAGATGAAGGCAATAGCAGACAGCAGGCTCATTCTGATCAATACTGTGCTGCGCGTCATGCTCCTCCATAGTGCCAATTACGCCAATAGTCCGTTCATATTCTGATAAATAAAAGTCCCACATATCATTCATTTGAACATCTATGATTTAATGTGACTGTGTCCCTCTGCTCTCCCCACAGTCCATGGGCTCAGAGCGGCAGGAGATGCGTAAGAGACAGATGCAGGTTCATCAGGAAGCCGCTACCAGTGTCCTCCAAGTCCGCCACAGAATGGGGAACACCCCCACTAACGCCTCCAACGCCTGCTGCTTCTGCTGGTGCTGCTGCTGCAGCTGCTCCTGGTAACTGATGGTGAACACACGCAGCACCAGTAAAACACTCAACATGAAAACTTTACTGAGGATGACCTTCTCTCTGCTACTCAGTTACACATCATTCTATAAAAACATGTGGTCATTTATGGAGGATCATCCTTTCCATCCTTTTCTTACACAGCTGAAGTCTAGGCTAGTTTTATTTTGAGTTCGTTGTCATGTTAATAAATTTTTGGACATTTTTAAACTAAATATGTTTTGCAGAATTAAATGATACTTCCCTAATCAAATACTTATCAAAGAAATATTACTTTCTTAAACATATCTATACGTATATATGTCATTATGTCATTATACATGTCATTTCAATGACCCTACTACAGAAGATCCCATACTACACTCTTCCCCATGAGCCTTCATCTGTTTTGGAAGTTTCTGTCATTTTCTCACCCTCCTCTGACGGCAGCCTGTTGCATGTTGTGTGAAGCATTCTTAACTCCCCCACTGGGAACGGGCAGTACATTGTGTTGCCACATCTACACAATTCTAATTGTTGCAGAGCTACAACTGCCATGTCCCCATGTGGGACGCTGCAGAATGGACTCTCACCTGAACCAATTAGTTCACAAGCAGCTGCTACATCATGCACTGGGACCATTTTAATTAGACGTAAAACTCCCACTGGACACTGTTAACAATTGACACACTTCTGCGATGTATGTTTCTTATTCCCTTTAGACTTTACTAACTGTAACTGTGACTGTTTCTGAGAAAAATATCCCTCACGTATCTCAGCTAATATTCTTAACTTAAAAAATGACAAAGGAAACAATACACAATAAGCACTTTCAACATCCACGTTCTATTTCTAAGAGGAAGGTGATGTTGCTTGTTCTCCTTCTCCTAGTCTAACTGTGAGAAGTGAAGATGAGACAATCCAGGGGTCTGAGAGAAGACCAGACACAACAAACAACTGTGAGGAAAGGTATATACGACAATGACTTATAAACTCATTTCTGCTGATAATAAGGGTTGAGGAACTGAATGCGGTTTGCTCCACAGCCCCAAGCCCACTCTGGAAGAAGCCCGCTCTTGGTCTGTGTCGTTTGAGAAGCTGATGAAAAGTGCGTCTGGCCGCTGCTGCTTCAGGCAATATTTGAGGACAGAGTTTAGCGAGGAGAACATGATGTTCTGGCTCGCCTGCGAGGAGCTAAAAAAGGAGACCAATAAAACTGTGGTTGAAGAGAAAGTTCGGCAAATATATGAGGACTTTATCTCAATACTATCTCCAAAAGAGGTAAATGCAGATTACGAGCGTGAGGAACACAAGAGTAGCCTGTCTTTTTACTCTTGCGTATTGATTTTATTCTGCGTTTCATTTGTTTTTCTGTTGTAGGTCAGCCTGGATTCGCACGTTCGAGATGTGATCAACCGTAACATGCTGGAGCCCACATCACATACGTTTGACGACGCACAGCAGCAGATCTACACACTGATGCAGAGGGACTCTTACCCACGCTTCACCAACTCCACAGAGTACATGGACCTCCTCGAGAGTCTGGAGAAGGCCCCGGAGCCGTAGAGCCAACCTCATCACCTCGCACTTCGCCCGGGAGACTGGGACCAAGCTCTCTCTCTCCTGGATTCCTGCTATTTAAAGACAGAGAAAACGACACTACTTAAAGTGGTTATCAGCTGTAACTGCTGTTTATTTGCCCATAATTAGCTGACCAAATTGACAAAGAGCAGTGAACAAAAGGCTCGTTCTGGCATTAGTAAAGTGTTGGACAGAATATCTATATTTTTGTAGATTCACAAGCACTTGACACTTTTCTACCATGTTTAATGAGTGAAAGCATGTGCAAACTGTGGGCCTTTTGTTTGCATTTTGGTATTGTCTTGTAGAAAAAGTTGGGGCTCTCTTTGTGAAGGTAACTGAAGGGAAAGTGCCTTGGAATAAGACCTTGTCCTGCGCCTCGAACATGGACGGTGCCACTTTGCCAGTTTGGTGCTTTTTGCTCTTCTCAAAGATCACTTTTTACAATCGAGGTCTACTTGGGATTTGTAATATAATGTGTATTTAAATACTGTGATATTAGTGATTCTATTTATTTAACAGAAGACAAGGGGGATATGAACAATGACCACTGATATATTTATGTATTTATAAAAAGTAGTTATGTTGAATAGTATTTTAATTATTGCAAATTAAATAAAGCACAATTATACCAATGTGGATTCCATGTGATGTTTACAATTTGCATATTAGGTTCCATTCCCATCCATACATGTCATATAGAGCTCAAAACAGAAAAGAAAGTCCATGTACAGGATTTAACAGTCCTTTTTCATTTTATTTTCCCAAAATCAAATTAAATCAGCAAGTTCAGAGATATCATCAAAATACACTGAACCAAACACATGAGCAAATATCTTCATACACATTTATTGATAGTTGGTTATATATTAAAAAGCATAGCCCTACATGTGTCCTGTAGATAATGGCTTTTATGAGGAAAACAATCAAAAAGCAGTCTGAGATCAAGTGGCATCCAGTTGCATCACTTTAAAGTCTGGTCTTTCTGGTGGTTTTGGAACAGTCCGTGTCCTGTGTTCGTCCTATGAGCTTCTGCGGTGCGGTCTCACTGTCCGGGGGTCCAGTGGGTCCAGTGTGGGTTCTTCCACAGACTCTGCAAGGCTCTGGTGCCATTGAGCGCGAGAACTGTCTTTCCCCTCTTCATTCGTTACCATCGGGAGGTAGCGTTTTCAATATGAAGTGCTTTATGTCATCCATTTCCTGCAAAAATGACCCGAAAAATTACATTAAATGAAGTTGATATGTACTGTGGACTAGGGTCGGATCAGAAAAAACAAACTAAAAAGCGATATTAAAAGTTACTCAGAATAAGTCATTAATCCATCACTAACTTTTGGACTGGAGCTGTGAGCGAGACCCTGATAGGTGTTAAAGGTGTAGTTGTCTGGGTTGACGAGGGTTTTCATCCTTCCCTCCGTCATTTTCCCAAATGAGTAATTAACGATGGGGTCAGCATTGCCGTGGCACTGCAGCACGGGCATGTCCTTGTTAGCACTATTGGCAGAGGCCTGATACAAACAAGAGATTACAGATTATTGGTATGAGCCATTGTGACTCACAGATGACACAGGAGAAACTAAATATTAATGTGATACTTATATAAAAAATACCACAGTGATTGTTGCGGTAGTAGTAAATCTGCACCTGAGGGAAAGTGTTGTGCAGAGGCAGCCAGCAGCTCAGAGCCACTACTCCAGCAAGTTTCTGCTGAGTCGTCAGCGCTGTGTAAAGGGACAAAGCTCCCCCCTGTAAAAACAAGCCAAATAAATGTAACAGTATACAAGCCAAACGGCAAGGTATTATGGATTTTCATAAATGTTTACCTGCGAAAATCCACCAAGGAGAATCCTGTGAGACGGTATCCCATTCTTAACCTCTTGCTCTATCAAGGCCTTAACTGTATAACATGCACAACTTATTAATTACATTCACACATTGCTGGAGATCAAGGGATTATACATGAAAGTTCAAACATACTGGTCTCTGAGGCTCTTTTAATCCCAGCCTCGTCTTCGCTACTGCTGAAATCTAATCCATAGATATCAAACCTAGACGGTGCAAAATGAAATTCAGGATTACAGTTTGTTGGAGCATTGTTTATAAACATGTGTTGTGCGTACTGACCAAGATGGCATCACCATTCTCATATTCAGGGTCACAGGCATCGCAGGACTGAAAAACATAGAACGTGTGTGTGTGTGAGTGTGTGAACTTTTACCCTGATTAAGAGAAGCTTTGATTGTCCTACTTTGAATACTCACGCATGCGGGCAGATATATTTCACATGCTGTATCCTCAAGCCTTCAAAAGACTCAGCCCAGCCATGCCTGTCAATGTGAACACAAGGTGACAGAAAGTGTGAATGTAGTCAATAAAAACACACAAACTCACAATAATACACATACCCGGAATCACCAAGGCCATGCAGGAAAATCACCTGCACAAATCAAAACAACATATTTACTTGCTGCTCTTATAGGAAGCATTTACAGATAGTATGAACAGTCTTCCTGATAATGTGAGATGCTTCTTCTCTAACAATGATATAATCTAGGTTAAAAACTGATCTGTTTATCTGCGCATACAACTGAGCGATTTTATATTTACTCTCAATAATGCATGATGTTTATTCATGATTTTAATGCCTTGTGAGATTGTACATTTTGTGAGCTCCTGTCCTGGATGTGTGCTGCAACATCGACATTTCCCCACTGTGGGACGAATATAGGTCCTCTCACTGCATCTTATCAACATATGTAAGCATGAGATTTGACGAGGGCTATGGGGAGGAAAAAAGATACTTTATTGATCTCAAAATGGAGAAATGTAGCCACACATTTGGCATAGATAGTGTCACTCAGATTGTGCAAAAAGACATGAAGTGTGGATATATTATGTACAATAAAAAGGTGGCTATAGCAGTGCAGGTTTGTCGGTCCTAGTGCAGTTCTAATATAGCAGCAGGTGCCTGGGGTATCGGACACGGGTGTAAACAACATGGTGCTTGAATGCAGTACTTACCGCTGCAGTGGCTTTGCGGGCGGCAGGCACAATGGACGCAGATAATGGCGCTGACATGTTATTGCCGCACATACAGCGCGGTTAGCAGCAAAGCTAGTAAGACACTCCAGTGGACCTGAGAGTGACTGAAGTCCCCGCACTCCGTTACTTTATCCACACGGGCACTGCGTGAGTCGGTAAATACACACTCCCGGGACAGTGTGGCGATGCCGAAGAGACAGTTTGAAGGAATCAGAGTTAGATTTATGGCGATAACGAGAGCGGCTCACGTAAAGAACTTCACACGCAAGAGTAGTCCCGCCCTCGCCTGGAATGAACATCCGGATGCCGTCACATTCACGACAGACATACTACGCGATGATTGGCTGTCTGAGAGTGTCAATAACAACGCCCTTAATCACTGTCGAATCATCCACAATAACTATTTTTTGTTCTATTATTATTATTATTATTATTATTATTATTATTATCATTATTGTTATTATTAGTATCATTATTATCATTATTATTATTTTATTTCTTTTTTTTACTATTATCATCAGTATTATAATTATCGTCATTATGATATTATCATTACATAACAATAATAATAATAATAATTCAAAGTAAAGTGGGATGGGTCCGTGTACTTTTGCGTTACCTGTTGCAAAATGTTCTCACTAAACATTAGTGACAGATCAGCTATTAAAAATATTGGATTATTCATTTAATCATTAAACAGTATACAGTCCACTGTGTTAGGTCTTGGTTCAATAAGTTTGTAGCAAATTAGTTTTTTTGGCCCTCTGATGTATTTCACTTTGACATGCCTGCTGTAGAGGGATATTTCTTTCTTAACTCTGATTAGGCATATCTATGGAAGCCCGTTTCCGCCATGTAAAAAAAAGTCAAAATTCCATACATAATAATGCTTGAATTGCTCATGTGAATTGTCAGAGATCAGCGTGTCGTTCTGTACATCCGCCACTGGAGGGACTATATGAAGTCAAATAGCAGCAGGGATATTTTAAGTTTACACAAGCTTGCACAGTGCATCTACAAGGACACTGAAGTTGATTGGTAATAATGGATACAAGACATTTGCAAGAAAGATAATATGATTTTTTTTTTGGAGAGCATCCTCAGTTTTTGTCAGTTGTTGCGTGACCTGTGAAAAGTGGGGTAAAGTTGTGTGTGTGCGTGTTTATGTGTGTGTGTGCATTTGTATGGTACAATATGCAAATACAGCCTGAGGGCCAGTGCGTGTGGCGCCATACGAGGCTTTGTCTAATTGTACATAATGACGCATTCATTTGGGATAAATATGATTGTGTAACAACACACAATCATTCATTCATTCGTTTTTTCGAAACGAAACGAAAAGTCAAATATAAAGCCAATTTTTCCTTTTCCTCATCAAAATGAAAAATATATGATTAATATACGCAGTTTCGGATGCCCTTAGGAGAGTCTATGAAATAGGCCTGACAGTGGTGTTCATGTGTTTACCAGCCCGTCTGACAGTGGTGTTCATGTGTTTACCAGCCCGTCTGACAGTGGTGTTCATGTGTTTACCAGCCCGTCTGACAGTGGTGTTCATGTGTTTACCAGCCCGTCTGACAGTGGTGTTCATGTGTTTACCAGCCCGTCTGACAGTGGTGTTCATGTGTTTACCAGCCCGTCTGACAGTGGTGTTCATGTGTTTACCAGCCCGTCTGACAGTGGTGTTCATGTGTTTACCAGCCCATGGGGTTCCAGGAAATGAGGCGGCAGATTCAGTGGCCACTTATATGACATGAAATCAGTGCAGGAACAGCAATAGGATTTAACAAATATTGTTGTTGCAAAAAGAGTTTGGAAACTCTCTACGCAATATGGCATAGAAAAACAAAATTATCCGTTAAACTCTTCTTAGTCCCTCAAACACTCACTGCAGTAATCGGATTTATTTTCCTCACCAACAACCTGCACATTCGGATGTAAGTGCTGAATGCAACCTGGAGGGGGCAGCAGACACCGAGCCTGTCCTGAAAGGCACGTGACGTGAGGAAGACAAGTAGCACTTCCGCTTTGCCATATCACGTGACCCGCGTGTCCTTGGTGTTTGCTAACTTTGACATGTGAACAACAGAAACATGTCTATTCCCAAAAAACCCGCTGGAAAAGCATTGGACATTCTACAGACTTTACCTCGGATAACACTGGCAAACCTGCGGCCGGAACCTGGCTCCAAACAGCTGGTAACACTGATGTCTCTTAGCTGCAGGATAGCTGTGTTTTGCTAGCTGAGATTGTCATTGTGACTGCCAGTGCCATGCTGCTTAAAGTGTTTGTTTTATGTTCAGGAAAAGCGGAGAGGCAGAGGGCAGCATGGGGGCAATCGGAGCGGCCGCGGGCACAAAGGAGAAAGGCAGAGAGGGAACCGGCCTCGCTTGGGCTTTGTTGGTGGTTCGACCCCATTTTATTTAGCCATTCCTAAATACACCTACAACGAAGGCCACAGGTAATTTAAGTGTTTGGGTGCAAGCCTAGTGCAACCATGTGAATAGATCCTTAAGTGATTCCACCAATTTAAAGCTGGGGTACCTAACTTTCAAACAATCGCAATTGAACTGTGTAATAAAATGCATCTACAGACCTACACTTTTTTAAGTCTCCCTTTTACAGTTGGTTAAACGTGATCTAAAGCTGTTAAATAAACAGAAAAGTAAAAAAAGAAAAAGACCACCTTCACTCAGCCAATCAGCTCTCAGCGTCGAATACTCACAGGGCCCTTGTCCAAAGAATAACATATTTTCTAGAAGCTGGACATGGCATTTTGTGGTCTTATTTGTTCACAACAGATTTCCTTCAAAAGACTCTTCTGAATTCAAAAACATGTTAAAATTATGAAACAAAAATGGCGGGTAACCCAGCTTTAAATTTCGGTGTACATTTGTGCCTCTGAGGTGGATGCATAGGCTATAGTGGCACAGGCAAGCCATATATATCTATTTTGTTTATTTAAAATGAAGATGAATGTACAAATAAGCATAATATAAATTGATGTGTCTTTTTTTATGTGTGTTGAATATTGAACTATTATAGCAGAACAGAAAGTGGATGCATTTATTCTTTAACTTGTTAATAAAGACAATATGACCCCTGTTCCTCCTGCAGCCGGCGCCCTCAGTACCAGCCCCTGACGCTCAAACGGCTCCAGTATCTCATAGATTTGGGAAGAGTCGACCCTACTCAGCCCATAGATCTGACCCAGCTCGTGAACGCCAGAGGGGTCACGGTGCAGCCCCTCAAGAGAGACTATGGCGTCCAGCTTGTAGATGAGGTAGGCTATGTCTAAAACCTAAACTAACTTAAAGCCTCATGAATGTATCACGTTTTTCAAGAGCAGTAGTTCATAAACATTTGGTGCCGTGATCTTTGGAGTCTTTGTTTTTATATCAAGCCATATCTCAATTCTGTATCATCTCACCACCCACATTTTGAAACCACTGCAGTAGAGATTTTTCTAAAATGGTCAAAACTCAGACCTGTGGGCCAAATGCAGCCCTCCGTCATTTTATGTGGCCCTCTGCCTTGCTAACCCAAAGTAGTCTTTGAGATCAAGTTCAGTGTTATCCAACCAACTTCAGCTCTAACAATATAGACATGGGGCCTCCAGAATTCAGCCGTTCACTTTACTTGTGTTTTTTATTGTGTCCCAAAGTTCTGTCTTTGTCACTTATGTAGCTGTGTAGATTAGGGGTGTTTAGGGGCGATACTTTCTCCCGCGATTCGATTATCGATATGCATTTGCCAAGTATCAATATCAATTTTGGGAAAAAAACAAAAATTGAATTTGTTTTTATTTTTTACAATTTAAAAAAAAAATTGGTATTAATACTAATTAATATATGGCTACATTACGCATCTCCATTCCATTTATCATGAAATAAAGTGTAGTTTTTCTTTTATTTATGCCATAAATTGGCATATTGTATATTTCTGACCAATATATCGATAAATGTCGTTATCGTGATATCGTTATCGTGATAATATTGTTATCGTGATAATATTGTTATCGTGAACTGTGTATCGTATCGTGAGGTACCCTTAGGTTCCCACCCCTAGTGTAGATGGTAAACATGTCATTCTGAATGTGTCATCATTATGTCTGTCATAGCTAATATTAAATTTTAGAACAGGCAAAATCCAGTCACAAGTTTTTCAATCTGGATAAGTCTGGTTTAACTAAAATGAGCTCTTACTAAAATGTTTAGACTCTCCTGCCCTATAGTATTCAGGTTATATTTTAGGTTGTTTCCAGCATAACTATTTCATGATATTGATGTAGCCATGACTCCTTCATCCTTCACCAGAAGATGGCGCTGTAGAGCCATTACATTGACATGAAAAAGGAAGTCCATAGATGATTTGCTGTGTGTTCTCTTCAAGGGCTCCGACATCTTTGCTGCAAAAATCAATATAGAAGTTCAAAGGGCTTCTGAAGGGGCCATCGCTGCCGTCGAGCGCAACGGAGGAGTCATAACCACCAGTTACTACGACCCTATAAGTCTGGGTAATTAAAACTCCTTGTTTAAAGAAAAGACAAAAGCATAGATGTGATTATAATGTTTGACTGTTCAGGGATTCTCATCAAGCCTGTCCCATTCTTCATGAGAGGGACTCCGATACCGCGCAGAATGCTTCCAGGGGAAGACATGGTGCCGTATTACTCTGACGCTGAGAACAGGGGGTACTTGGCAGATGTGGAGCAGATCCAGCAGGCCCGACTCGCCTTAGCGCTCAAGTACGGATACTCCTTGCCCGACATTTCAAAAGACGAACTCTACCACATGCTCTCTGTGAGAAAGCACATCAGACACATCTTTATCGGTCTTGAACCAGGATGGATCGTAAATATGCCTGAGAAAAAGATTTTGAAACCTACTGATGAGAAATTGATCAGTTATTACAATTCTTAGCGTGTAAATAAAATACATTAATGTGCGTTGTTTCGTTACAGTAAAAACATAATCAAAGAAGGATGTTTGAACGCTTTTTTATTTAAACTAAAGAATAAAGCCTAAATGAAAATGTCTTTGTAAGGTCTAATTTTCACATTCTTAGATATTTGCTTTGTTGCAGTGATAAATACAGCAAAACTACCAGCGTCATTGTTGCGTATTGGTCTGTAACAGGTGGGAATAAGGAAAATATAAGATGCTCAAAGAATGAAAACAGGAAACAGATGCACAGTGCTGTGTGTAACTTGCAAAGAGAGTTGTATAGATCTTGAAGGGGAGTTAGAAATTACTCATATGCAGCTGTATCCTGGCTGGGACATTCAAAAGGACAGCTCACCCCTCTACCACTCTATTTACTTGAAAGTGGGAGAAATAATTAGAAAAGAAAACCCTTTTATTTCAGTATTGGAACAGGCTTTTGATTTCAATAATAAAAAGCTTTCAATATATAATTAAATCTAATAATTGAATTTGTGAATTCATTACAGCGAGTTTCTAGTTTTTTGTATATTGATATTTTGTATTTCCAGTAAGCAGAGTAACATTCAACGATAAAGGCTCGATTTGCTATTTCTCAGTTAATATTTTGTCCTGCTGTTCCCTGAGAAACAAATAATCTTTCAAGAAACACTATCAAAGGAAGCGTGTGGGCGTGTGCCGAATGGCTTTTGGTGCCTTTCTTTAAACGGCTAAAATGCTTCATATATTTTATGACAAATAACCAAAAAGGTAATTACACACTTTTCTGAGCCACAAGCATCTGATAAAGTTCACAGGTTGTGGATTCATGCTCGCCTGTCAGGAAACCAGCCCAAAACCTTACAGCATAATACCAAAAATAAATCACACCACAGGAAAGAAAGAGCACAATCATTGTTTATGGCAGAACTACAGCCTTATCTTCAAAGCAGCAGATCCTTTTGAGTCTGTTACACTAACATTTCCAAATGCAGATATGTATTGACTTTTCAGCACAAAAACTCAATTAAGGATATTCTGTGGCGACAATATAAATGTAAGTTATTTACACTGGCTATAACGTCTTCTACTCTTTGTTAGTACTAACACTTCAAACAGTATCTGCTATTAATCTAATGTCTGAGTCTCTCTCTTTAATTAAACTTGGCCAGTCCACGCGCCAAAGGTGCAGGCCGAGTGTTTAGTTATCTGCTCTTGATTGAGCCATCATGGTGTCTCACAGCTCTCAGTCTAACTCCAGTTAATAATTAGGGATAATTATGCTTAATGGAGGCTGCTCTGTCTGCCGAAGTGAGACACATGCCATAGACTGGAGGATCAGCGCATACAGTGCAGACTCACTCTGGACCATACAAGACCAATTGAATTCAGAAGATAAGACTTATCAGCAGCCAGGAGAATACAGTTCCTCATTTGCACAGACAGTGCAGCAAACAGTTCTTTAGGTAACATCAGGCTTCAACGAGGAGCCTCCAGACAAATAATGTGTGAATGGTATGAGAAATTACATTCAGTTACTGTTGACAATGTCATCATCAATAATAATTGTGTACCACTTCTTCAAATAAAAAATGTTTTAGTGTTTTTTATATCTTAAATCAAGAACATCCTCCCTATCGCTGTCTCCTTCTGCCAGAGTCACAAAAGTAACTATGGCTGCTGTAATATTGTTCTTTATTAACTCAGTAATGTAACTCACGCAACAAATAAACATTACAAGTTAGAATGTAAGATATTTCTAGGTAAACTAAACCAAATTATTTGCATTATTCTTAATTCTGACTTAAAAAAAAAGAAGTAATTGTCTTGTTACTTCTTATCTCATTAATATTGTAATACACATTTCTTACATGTTCATCCCTCTAACTGTAGTAATGTTGATGATGAGACAATTTTTGAGTAACATGTCCATCCCTGGCCACTTGGGCCCAGTGGACCTGTGCTGCTGTTTGAAGTCTGTGTCCTCCATGTTATCTGTGCATTGAGGAGGGGGCATTGTGTTCTGCTAATGAGGCTACATTAAGGCTGTCTACACCAGGGGGCATGTAATCCTCTCAGCTGGCCTGTCGTAGACCAGGGCAGGGCCTGTTGACACTGGAGGCTTACACTCGCACCCTGGTCCACAGTGCAGGGCATCTTCTCAACCAAACTCTGGAGGGGGGGACATAGCACTGCATTGAATGGTGTCTGTCCTGTATCTTGCTGTTACCTGCTGGGCCCATACAATACCAGCACAGTGTAATAGCTAGATGGCACTACTATTTTACTACAACACCTTTGACATTAAACAATGTGCATTGTGTGAATGAGCCTCTGTAAGGAAAGTCAGAGTGTGAGCTGAGCCGTGACAGCAGAATACAGTGCTTCATTAGCTCAGGTCAACATACTGTCAACGCACTACATTCTCCTCAGTAACAAGACGTGTTGTAAAGGTCCCATGTCAGCAAAGTGTCCATGCCATCAGGTGAAAATCAGGCCATATGGAAAGGTGAGTCAATCCAAAACAATCCAGGTATGGTGGAACCCCAAAAATACATTCTTCACTGCTACTAAATCCCAAAACAAGCCTCTGAAGCTACAGTCCGTCAGGTCAGCTCCTCTCTGCTTGGCCATCCAACACAAAAGTGATCTGAAGTGAAGAAGAGACCCGGACTGTCCCATATATGGCTTCTGTCCAGTACAATGGTACATTGTCATAAGGACAATCCCTACTCACAAAGCAGTGGCCAATGAAGCAGTGGTTCCTCTGTTTGATGAAGAGACAATGCTATGATACTGTCATTACACAGATTAGGATTCACTTAAGGCTCTTATGATTAACTACACACAAGATTTAGGGTTAAGTGAATTATGCACTAAACATGATTTAGATTTAGAAAACATATTTTAAGAAAAGCATATTTTGACCTTCTAAATAATCAATACTGTACTTTATTAAAACCACTAGAAAGCCCGTTGTCCAGAAGAGTCCTTTTCCTCAAACACAGCCGAAACTAAACATTATTGTATTCACGCTGTGTCCAAACTAATTGATTAAATCCATTAGCACTTTTCAAAGCGCAGTGCGGCATGCGCTGCACTTAAGGTCCAGGATGTGGATTCAACTCCTAAAACTAAAAACCTGGGACTCTACCCCATACCCCTCCTTCCCTTTATGCATATGATAACCTGGAGCAGTATATTATACAACAAAGGCACGTTCTTGTCTGTTTAATGTTTATCATGGGCTGGAGGCCACGAAAAGCAATCCCCATCTCCTCATCTTAATCAGATGGTCAAAGTCAAACCTTTTCCCGTTAATCAACAAGTAATTCAATCTCCTCTTGACTCGTGATAAAGACACACGGATGTGGTACCAGTGTTTATTGGACCATAACACTGTCTGCGTGTGTATGAAGCTTTTAATGCACATATTAACACCATAAAGACTCCGCGTTAGTGCCTCGTCTGAGACACAAAGACAGTCAGGTGCCCCGATTATTCCGTGTATTGCAGCAACGCGACCGTAATGAGGCTTTTGTGCTATAATGTAATGTGATGTAATGTAATGTAAGTGCTGAGGCCCAAGAAAAATATTCATAGAAACATATAGAGCACCTGCTGAATGCTGCGGAGAAAGTGGAGACGCATGGCCTACACTGTAGCCTATGGCAAGGCAAGTTTATTTGTATTGCACAATTCATGCACAAGGCTGAACAGAATAAGATAGTAACAATCAAAGAAGGTATTACAATTATAAATAATCACAGTACATTAAAAAGAGTAAAGATAAAATCCATCAGTTGTATACACAGCATGCCATACTGTTTAAATGTAAAAACATCATCAGCAACAAAAGACTGCAATGATTTCCACTGTTTCCAAGTTTCGTCGCGCGTAACGTTTATTGCACCATTATTGGACAATCAGCATCCAAAGTTTGAACCCAGTGTAAACTCATCCTGTTGGATCCATGAGTGGCCCTGGTTCAGAGCTGCGTCCGCGCTGTGGTTTCTGTGTCTGAGGCTACAGTTTTGACAAGACGTCAATACACGTCAGCTGTCTGTCTGTTGTGTTCAGTAACCAAATGTCTGTTGGATTGTTGAAGTGCGTCTGTGTCGGATTTTGTTACTGTATATGAAGTGCATCTACTGGATACGTTTTTGGCCTCAGAGCAATGACTTTATCCCATGGAGGTATTACTCCTAAGCCTTGAGGACATTTATGTTTTGAAAGTGAGTTTGGAAAAAATGAATCAGTCCGTCTTTGTGTAAGAAGCGCCTTGACCGTGTTTGTTTCAGTGTAAAATGTTGCTTGATGAGGCAAAGAAGACGATAAGAGCGTAGGTGGAGTTAATTAGTAACGAGGCTCTGGACACTTTGATGTGCGCGTATCAATGCGCGGGCACCACAACTGATTGGATTCCGTTTCTCCAACACGTCATTAAAGTAGTGCGAAACATGATTCCAAATCGAGGGCTAAAAGTCCCGGGCACATAAAACAAAAAGGGGATATTCACCAAAACATGAAAAGGGTAGAATGAAATTGGATTCTGTTGGTGATGACTGCGTGACAGACTGAACGTGAAGTTTCGTGCGTTCGTTGATTGGAGGTCGTACAGTTTGTTCCTATCTCTAACCTGAGAATACACCTTGATTTCACACCTCGGCCTCAGTCCTGGACTCCCATTGGAGGATGCTCCTGATATAGACCCGGATCAGCAGCGGAGTCAAACACATCCATCAACAACATGCATTACAGCCAAGAGCGCGTCCAGTATCGCGTCAAGGTGGACGGCGCAGAGGACTTCATCACCGAGGTGCGATCCCCCAGCTCCGGAGCCTCCAGCCCCGTGTCGGTCCACTCCGACTCCTGCTGCACCAGCCCAGAAGTCAAATCCTCAGCCAAACATAGGGTCAGGAGGCCGCTGAACGCCTTCATCATCTGGACCAAAGAGGAGCGCAGGCGCCTGGCACAGCTCAACCCGGACCTCGAGAACACAGACCTCAGCAAAATACTCGGTGAGTCAAGTGATGCCACTTTAGGTTGGCTTTGTACAATTCAAGTCAGAGCATTGAAATATAGTAAACTATTTTTTAATCAGGAATGTTCCACAGTTTGGTTTAAACTCACTTATTATTATATGAATTGATTCACTGACTTGCTTCCATTAAGTTTGTTTCACAATCAAACATGCTAAGGCAATAATATAGTGTTTTGCATCCATCAACAAATATCAAAATAAAATAGTGCACCAGTAAATTTTTGCAGCTTTAACTATATCAACATATTCTATCAATGCCAAATGTGACATGCACATTTCTCCACTGTGAGATCAATAAAGTGTATCATATCTTATCTTATCTTAATGGCTTGTATTCATTCCTGTTCATCATCATTATAAAGATCAAAACTTCAACATGACCATAACGACCCCTCTCCTCTCTCCTCAGGGAAGACATGGAAAGCTATGTCTTTGGCAGAGAAGCGTCCGTACATGCAAGAGGCCGAGCGCTTGAGGGTCCAGCACACCATCGACTACCCCAACTACAAGTACAAGCCTCGCAGGAGAAAGCAGCTGAAGAAGAGCTCCAGCAAGCCCCACACTCCAGAGACCTCTGTGCCGCCGTGTCTGCCCCCTCGCTGCCCCACTCCTGGCTACAGCCTTCCCTATGGCCTCAGCTACCTGCTCCACAACCAGCAGCCCTACGCTCCCAGCCAGAACGCTTTTTCCAAAGGCTTCACGGACATGTCCAATGTTCATAACTGCCCTCCAAGCTACACTGCGGATCCACAAGCTTACTGCAGCCAAATGCAAGGCACTGTCCCGGAGCAGGCGGAGAGCTGGCTCTACCTTGGGCCCTCTCTGGACGTGTACTTGGAGCAGATCCAGCTGGACACTCTGTATGACCTTGACCGCAGTGAGTTTGAACAGTACCTGGGACCCTCCGCGCTCAGGCCGGACTCGGTGGACCCCAGCAGCTACCAGCTCAGCTACAGAGAGGAGCGATCCATCTCATAGCACCAGTGTCATCTACGTCTGTTGTATTCTGTTGTTTTGTTGAAAGACTGAAAATAGCACCTTTTGTACGTTTTGTATACACGTATCAATGTTCTTAAATAAATATATGAAGATGTTTTAATAAATGTCCGTCTGTAAATTACTGTTTGTTTTGAATGAGAAGTGAGGCTTTGAAACTATACATTGCGCAATTTACAATATTTTACTCAAAGTTAATCTACTTTTGGATTTTTTTCTGAATTATTAAGTAATGAATGTGTTCAATTCAAAGTGTCTGTATATAGCCTTAAATCACAACAGCAGACGTCTTGGAGGAATTTACCAAGTCACAGGAAATGGATTAAAAACAAACACATACTGTACAGGAGCGATTGGTCCAAAGGGAGTGGGTGACGACATTCATTAATTCCATTAAATGTACCCCTGCATCATCACTGTCTTTAGACCGTCCTGCATCAGCAAGGAACTCAAAAAAACAATCCAGTGGAAAAGAAGTTGAAATGTATTGACAATATATAACAACACATTTATCATATTCTATTCATAGATTATTTATTTCCCCTTAGATTCAAGTGAACCAGGAAAAACGGACTAAACCAGTAAAAACACAGCTATAAACAAGAGGTACAGTTGTTGTTTACAAATCCAGGTAGACATTTTAGTGTAATAAATTCCGGCCAATGTTCGGTGATTAAGAATAACAACAGAAAGATTTTTACACTCTTTGTAAGTGATTGTGTGAAGCCATTTAGTGTCAAATAAATGTGTTTTATATTGTATGATTATATGGATGACAGTGCTTTGAGTTGCCTTGTGTATGAATTGTGCCACACAAATAAACTTGCCTTGACAGAAACTACTTCCCCCAGGTCTCGTTTGTGGATGAGGCTCTTTATCTTCTCCAATAATGAAACTTCTTAGCACAAATCCTCCAGTTCTTCTACATTTTGGGTCACATTGCACACATGTTTTTGCCGCTGTGAGGTCTCCCCACAGCGGATAAAATATGCTATAATTTGAAAATACAAAACACATTCATTAGCCAATAAACGGCTTCACAAAAGCATTAAAAAACCATGGAAAAATTACAAAAAAATCACCAAAACAGCAGAACATCTACCTGGGTCTGTAAACTCTCCAGCCCAATTCTCATTTCAATTTCCACCTAAAATATGTCCACTCATCGCTGTTGTGGTGAAAGTGGCGCCAGCTTCGCACAATACAAGCCCAAGGTTCCTGCTTGATTTCAAAATGACACAAAGAATCTAAATTTAGAGGTTAAATCTTTACCCTGCATGCATTTCCACACGGCCTGGCTGCCAAGAGCGTGGACCCACTGATAGAACAATGACGTAGCTTTGCTGACGGATTGACTCAGCCGCGGCCGCACACACTCGCTGCTCAGATAATGGGCAACAACTAATATCCTCTGGCCTCTGAGCGGACGCGACGTGAGTCAGATCTGAAAGTGTGGGAAGGAAGTGATGAGCAGGAGGGCAGAAGGAGGAGAGCGGAGAGAGGAGCCTTTACAGCAGCACCTGAACATACGGAACTAGAGTGACGTGTGCCAACTTCCCTCAACAATATTTACACAAGCAAAAAAAAAAAAATGCCAGGGCAAAAAAATGATGATTAAGAAACAGCTGCCCGCAAAAAAAACAAAAAAAAAAAAATGTCTTTACTGTCTGACATTTGTAACCTTAGAGTTGTTTTGCTCCACTCTGGGCCCACAGCAACAATTATCCAACGGTCACAGGAACTTCCTCCAGGACAAACAAGTGGTCCAGAGAGTTTACAGGGGGAAAGGTGGACAAGCTACACAACATTTAGCATAGAATTTAGTCGCATAAGTTTATTTTGATATCACAGCAACTAACAATTATACTAGTAGTTAAAGTTAATATCAATAATCTACACCAGGGGTCTCCAATCTGTAGCTCGGGAACCACCGGTAGCTCGCCAAAGGATTTAGAAATGGATAAAATACAAAAATAGACTTGATATTTCAGATTGTATCATTCATGATCATTATTAATTATTGTAAATGAACACACTCTTTCAATAGTAACAAATATGTGATGATGAATAAAGGCTGTTCCCCATATCAGGCTCATTCACACCAATATATCACCAATTTTTCCCAGGGCCGCTTTACGGAGTAGCTCTCTGCCTGTATCGTCCCGGGAAAGTAGCTCTCTGGGTGAAAAAGGTTGGAGACGCCTGACACTGTCTATTGTGTGTATCTATATGTTCGAACTATACAACGATCCTTTATGCATGCAACTTTTTGGCACCATACACCAAAGAAAATGACAACGGCAATACAAATAATCCTGATCCTGGTTCTAAAGCTGGGGTACCTGCCTTTATCCCTCCATCGTAAACAATACATTTATATAGTTTTCGCCCACAGTTGTAGATAAGATTAGATTCAAGTTTTTGTCATTACAAAGTCAAAACAATGCTACGAAATGCAGTTTAGCGTCTGACCAGTAGTGCAATAGCGCAAGTATAGGATAATATTTACAAAACTGATCATTATAATTGCATATATGAGAGACTGTACAAGCTGCTACTGCTAGAACATACTTTAATTATCTCACTGTCACAAGAAGAAGACTAGTGAGCAACAAAGATGGTGCAGTGGTTAGCAAGGAGGAGTTTGCATGTTTCCCCTGTGCCTGCCTAGGTTCCCTCCTGGTGCTCCAGTTTCCCCTGCCACTAAAAACACATACAATGGGTCTGGCATGTGCCTCCGGTAGACTTACATGTAACTGTACTGCAAAAAGTGATGAAAAATAAGTCAAAAATTGCTAAAATTTGGCAAAATGTATCTTAATTTGAGCACATTTTAACTGCCTTAAAACAAGATTTGCAAATGGGACAAAGCAAAATGATCTTGTTTTAAAAAGATGCAAGAAATGTCTTCGGAAAAGGCTTGTTCAATTGGCAAAATTTGTTTTCAGACATTCAGAATGTACTCAAATTAAGATATTTGAGCATTTCTTACCTCATATTTTTCACTTTTTGCAGTGTATAAATGTAGTTTCAATAAAGAATAGACTTTGTTTCCTCACAAACTTTGTTTTAAAATGTTTTTTTCTATCTTTTTTAAGCTTTTTGCATCAGTATAAAATGTATTTTAGGATATAAATGTGTTCAGTCATCCACTTCTTAAAAACAAATAGTTAAAAATAGATGCTTTTGTAGGGGTTGCTGGTTCCAAACTTCCAAAAGTATACTTCTGACACAATCCATCTGCAAACACATTTATGTAACATTTGTTGGCGTAGATATTTCTCCACAAATGGTCCAGGAATGCCGCTGCTTATCGCTGTGACACCTGACGGAGCGGTCGGTATGAGCAGGTCAAACACTGGATAGTGAAGACGCATTCCTGCTGCTTTACAGATTAAATATTCAAAGAGTGGCACGCAAACCTCTGACTTTATGCCGCGCCCAAAATAGATCGGCTTCGACATTTGTGACATTCTTGAGATTTGGAGAGACAAATTTAGACTTCTCTTGTCTTACCTCCAGCGAGAGGATCTTCAATGATTTCCTGTTCTGGAGTAGTTTGGGCTGAAGCGGGCCTGACGGTCGCAGATAGTGCTCATCCGCTATGATCCCAAGTAGAGGAGGAAACTCTGGCAGGAAAAGGCCCCGAAGGAGGTACACGGCCCTCGTCCTACAGCACAGGGGACATTTGAACATCAATTCAAACAGTGAATCCTATGGCATCATGGGATTGTTGCACATACAGCAGATATTAAAGAGGAAAACCAAAAGAGACTCCAAGTAAAGAGATAGAATGCGGCTGTCTGGTCCCAAATATTAGTAGTTGTTAGAGAACTTTCCCATTGAAGGCATTGATTTCATGGATTTGATTTGGAAACCTCCAGGACTTTGTAAACTCCTCCAAGGCTGTTTCTAGCGACACACAAATACACTGAATTAAATTGAAATATTGACAAAAATAAACCACAGGGTCTATGTAATAGTAAACTTCAAAGAAGACAAAAAAATATGTTATATTCATGCACATTTCCCCCATGCTCTGGACCCATCTCAAGATGTCGGTCAGGATTATTAAGGAGTCAGGATACCTCCATAGGAGGATGTGCACCTTGTACAAGGCCTGTCTTCTTGTCATAGTATATAAATATCCAAATATATAGCCGGAAATCGGATAAGATTCATGGTATAATGAAATGTATGGGAATTATAGATCATTCTATCATGATTGAAACAAAATGATTATTCCGTTGGCACTTCAGAGATCTTTGACCTTCTTGCACTTTGTGAATTGATAAAACTGTGATTTCATTTGATCTTAATTCATTGTGAGCTTGAATCCATAGGTGTAGTGTGTGAGTGAGTGTGTGATCACTTAACCTCACTGCACTGGTCTGCGACATGTTCACAGCCCACACATTGTTTATTCTCACACTGTGACACCTTTAAAGAGAATTACCCAAATAAACAGTATACAAACCATCCACTTATCTGTCTCAGACAGACTGAATTCATTTGTGTCATGGTTTTTAGTTACAGCTTTTAATCAAATCATCCTACACAGATTCATTAACAGCATATCAAGGCGTGTGCTCTTGAGGATAGCTTCACTTAATAATTTAATTGACTAAATAATTTGGTTTTTAATGAATATTTTTACTACATTTCCCCTTCATCTTTTTGTCCCTGAAAAGTATTTCCAATAATGCAGAAAATATATAAAATATAGTTATAAAGTAATAACAGTCTGTTTGAGTTTATCTCCTTGAGGCCGCAGTGTGTGGTGCTCAGTCCGTGCTGCAGACGGGTCTGACCAGACAGCCTGATTACTGTAACGGACTGGGCGTCTGGGTGTGACCTGCTCCATCAAAGTCCCGTAGCTTAGACGCTAACGCCTGTCAACAAACACTCAGTGATAAACGGAATGCAGCCTTTAAAGTGGAGCTTACGTCTGCGCTCATTCATAAAAGACATATTTCAGTCTA